GGCCTGGGGTGTGGCCCGCGGGGCAGGCCGGGGCGTGGGGTCCCCCCAGGGCCTCTCCCCGGAAACAGCGAAAGTCAAACGTTTCAACGGAAAAGGTGTGAGCCACACGCAGTCTTGCTGCCACCTGCCCTCCAGCCCCGGGCGCCCCGCTCGGCGAGGGCTGGGATCTGCACACCCGGAGGCACTGGGAATTTTAAAAGCTTAATAACGGCAGCGCATGCATGCTCTCCAGCCAGTTTTTAAAAACCGCATTTCATTGAGTCAGATAGCATGTTGCTTTGGGGAAAAATGAACACCATACACTTGTTCTTTTAGTCCAAATGTTGTCTTGTAAACAGCCGAATGCCTGGTGTGCACCGGCCGGGGAGACGGCCCGGCACATCCGTGGCCAGAGGGTGGCAGCGGGTCCCTGCGCATGTGGGGTTCCGCCCTGGTCCTACCGCAGCTTCTCCACTAAAGAGGCCGCTGTCCCTCTGCCCCGGGGCCAGGGGGTGGGCTGGGCGGGGCCCAGAGTCCTGGAGCTCCCCAGGATCTGAGGCCCAGCACCCACTGTCTCCACCCACGTCACGGCGCCGCAGACAGCTGTCCCGGACAGCGAGCCCCATCCCAGAGGCGACGTCCCGGTGGACGGTGTAAGCGAGAGCGAGACACAGGTGCCCCATGGTAATCACTTGCACATTTCCAGAACCGGACACTCTGTCATCTAATAGACCTAAAACGAGAAAGCTTTTGTCTGCCCAAGGTGACCAATAGGAAGGGAGCGCGGAGGACCCGATATCCCATAACTTAATCACACGGCTCTCACGAGGGGCCGCACGCAGCTGTGTCTCACTAATATGCATGCACTGTGTGTAAGCCGATACGCTTTCATTCTCCACTTGTGTTTAGCAGGAAGAGAAAGCCTTTAAATGAGGAGCGTTAAGATTCAATATTAACCCCCCCTCCCCCCGTGGGCAAAATTATTCTTCACTTGATATTTGTGAAAGCAGCGTTTTTTTGTCGCGATGGTAACATGCACCCTGCTGAAGATGTGCCAGGCGTGTTGAAAGTTAGGCGGCCGCGGGGACAGGGAGCCGGGGCAGCCCTGGGGGCCCAGGAGGACAGTGGACTGGAGGGATGGACACTTGTTCCTCGGAAGCCCAGACCCACACTGGACCCCTGGACCCGAGTGCCCGGGCTCAGGTGGGAGCCAGGGAGGAGGGGCCGTCCCGTGTCCAGCTCTCCCATCAGGGATCTTTGATTTGTGTGCGTTTCAATGGCTCGTTTGTGCTGCGTCCGTCTGAATCCTTTAAGTATATTTGCTTTCAAAGTCTTCACCAAAAAAGAAAAGAAAAAAAAAAAAAAGGAAAAAAGCCCTAAGACAAAGGAATTGTGGAGTGGAGACTTTTATTTTTCAGGGCAAAAATGATACGGGTAAGTGAACATCAACTGACCAGAAATTATTTGCTTCTGTCTGTTAGACACGTAATGGAGTCATTTAACTAGTCAAATTAGGAGCTGCAGAAATGCACCATGCTTCATTACTGAGTTCGAATGGGCACCATTTTACATTTACGTCAAAAATTATCTCATCGCAAATTAATGTTTTCATCTCGCCAGGCGGCCGAGGCCGCGCGGCGCGGGCGCCACCTAGTGGCCGTCGCGGGAACGCTTCAGTGTCTGATGCAGGAGCCAGGCCTGATGATTGTGGGGGGTTGGCAGGGAGAGAAGTGGGGTTCGGTTTAGTGAAAGAGCCTGGACCCCTTGAATGTCATTGTGGGGCTCGGCTTCCGAGGGGAAGTTCTGAGGGTCCCATAAAGGTTCCCCCGAACTTGGCCTCATAGGAGACGTGCCAAGGCCGTGTGCGTGTGTGCGTGTGCGTGTGCGTGTGCGTGTGCGTGCGCGTGCGCGTGTGCGTGTGCGTGTGCGTGTGTGTGTGTGTGTCACACTTTGCTGAGCTCCCTCCTGTGTGCCTACAGGACCAGATCTCAGGTGTTAGCTGGGCTCATGCTTCTGTACAGAACCAAGGGGAGCTTCCTTCCTCCCACGTTGTAAATCGGCATCTTTCTTGGTTGTCCTTGGTGAGACGCGCTCCCGGCAGGAACAGCTGAAACATGACGTCGTGTCGTCTTAAAAAAGTGTGGGAGCAGGTCCGCTGTCCACTCGCGCCGTCACGGAGGCTGCTGGGGTCCCTGCCAGGCTGGTCTCGGTTCAATTCAGAGAGAAATCAGTTCGGATCAAATCGCAAAACCCTCCCCAATAAAGATACTTCGTGGCATGACGGGCAGGTGCTCCGTGCGTCAGGGGAGCGGGCGCTGGCGGTCGGGGCGAGAGCCACGGACAGGATGGGTGCGGAGAAGAGCGGGGAGGCCGGGGCTGTTTCGGGGCAGTGTTGGCGTCGAAGCTCCGGAGTTCCATGTGAGTGGCTGCGAAGCTAGGGACGCAGACCTGGTGCCCAGCACAGCCAGAGGGGCCTCCGCTGAGACCGTCAAATCCCCCGAAAGACCCCCGTTTGCCGAGAAAGCCTCACTCACGGCTGCTCTGTGGGGAGACGGGAGGCGCCTGGTGGGATGTGGCAGGTAGGGGACCCTCGAGGGGTCTGGGCAGGACCCTCGGAGGCTAGCACCCCCTCCCTCGGCAGGGGACAGAGTGCAGGACAGCTGAGCCCCGGTGAGGGAGGCCCGGCCATGGTGAGGGGTGCCCGGCCCACGTAGGGAGGTGCCCGGCCGGCTCCCTGAGAGCTGGTGTGGGTCTCGGCCCCGTGCTTCGCCCGAGCCCCGTCCGCAGCCCCTCCACGGGGCCGTGTGCTCGCGGGGACGCCAGGGGTGGGCTCCCCCCGGCCCCGACTCTGTTTGTGCAGCTGCCTCTCCTGACCTTAACTTCTTCTCGAGCACAAGCTGGGCCGGGGCGGCGGCAGGTGTGGTCTGCCAGCAGCACAGATGCTCGGATTAAAACACAAAACAGAGGCTAAGCCTGAGGAACGGCACCCCCTTTCCTCCGCACTCACGGGGACTCACCCGGGACCGTTTGCCGTGAACACACCACCGCCCAACCTGTTTTGTAGAAACCCCCCCACCCCAACATTTTAAAAATTCCTCCAAATATTATCAACTCTCGTTTCTGCAAAGATGCGGTGTTTCCAGATTCCAAAGAGGGGCTCTCTCCTCGGAGAGTGAGTAATGATTGCTGCTCACGTGCGCCC